GGGGCTGGAGAATCACAAACGGGGCGTGAGCGGCTCCGCCTTTGTTTAGGCGGCCACGTGGGGCCCCAGCGAAAGACAGACGCCGGGAAAGGCAATGGCCCGGGGCGCGGGCTGGCCAAGGGGTCTGCACCCTGGAACCGGGAATTGAATTCATTGCTTAGAAATTGAACACGCGATGGAAAGCTCGCTAGTGGGTGCCCTGGGGGAGGAATGGGGGCCGACTGTAAACTGGCAGGAGGGGGTCTGATTGGGGTGCTGGGAATAGTGTAAACATAGGTTATGGTGACGGGTGCACAGCTAAACGTTGTTGGGCTGTCCATTCAAAATGGGGTTTTTGTGGGGGGTTTTTTCAATATGTTTTTATTGATTTCAGAGAGGAAGGGGTAGAGATAGAGGGATAGAAACATCAATGATGAGAGAGAATCTTTGGCTGCCTCCTCCATTGCCCACAATGGGGACCAAGCCCGCAACCCGGGCATGTGCCCCTGACCGGAATCGAACCCGGGACCCTTCAGTCTGCAGGCCGAATCTCTATCCACTGAGCCAAGCCAGCTAAGGCAATTTAAAATGTTTTTATTAATTGAAATTGTACCTCGATAAAGTTTTTTGTTTTACTTTTATGTGTTTGTTTTTCATCGATCCCTGGGGTAGACAGTGGAGGAGAAGGACTGGCGTCCTACACGTGGATCCTGTCCTTCAGGAAATATTTGCTGGGTTTCTGTCCTGGGGGACAGGACAGCAGGGTCTGAGTCAGACACACCTCCCAGCCCTGGCTTCCGTCCAGAGCAGCACGCCCAATGGAAACAATACAAGCCCCGAGTGCCAGCCACATAATTTTACATTTCCTAGTAGCCATTTTTAAGGAACAGTTAAAAAACCCAAATGAAATGAACTGTCATAATACTGTAACCAAAAAATGTCGTTTCCACATGCAATCAATGAAAAACATGTTTAATGTGATAATTTACTCTTTTTTTGGTCTCTTCCAAATCTAGTATATAGTTTACATGTCACCTCTCTAGGGCTCCGTAGCCACATGTAGCTGGTGGCTCAGGAATGGGGCAGCAGACGTGTACTGGGACATAGGCAAATGTATAATAATAAAAACATAATATGCTAATTAGACCTGATGTCCTGCCAGACGACCTTCCGGACGAAGCCGGGGCTGTGAGGGAAGCCGGGTCCTGGGTGTCTGCAGGTGGCCAGAGGGAAGTCCGGGTCCCAGGTGCCATAGGGAAGCTGGTGCCGGCAGCTGGGGGAAAGAAGGCCTACTCTTGCACGAATTTCGTGCATCGGGTCTCTAGTACATTTATAATGCAAAGTGGTTATACATCAATGAAAAATCAAGGGAGCCCTGGCCAGTCGCTCAGTTGATTGGAGTGTCATCTTGTGCATCAAAAGGTTGTGGTTTGATTCCCAGTCAGGGCACATACCCAGGTTTCGAGTTTGATTCCCAGTTGGGGTATGTACAGGAGGCAACCCATTGACGTTTCTCTCTTAAATCGCTGTTTCTCTCTTAAAAAGAAATCAATTGAGAAAAACATCCTTGGGTGAGGATTTAAAAAAAAAGTTTCTTTAAAATAAAAAGAAGAGGACAGAGAGTGTTAGAAGATGCGATTAAAAAAAATACAGGTCATTAAAGGCCTCTCTGGTGAGGAGGTCATACTGAGCAGAGACCTGAAGGAAATGAAGACGGGACCTGCAGAAATACCTGGGAGAAGAGCAGGTGTGAACGCCCTGAGGCAGGACGGTGTGTGGGCCCATGTGAACAGGAAAAGCTAGTGTGGCTAGAACCACGTGAGTAAAGGAAAAAGCAAACCCGGGGTAGATCATATAGGTTGTGCCAAAGCAGCACTTATAAACACCCGCCTTCAGTTTAGGACAGTGGTTCTCAACCTTCCTAGTGCCGTGACCCTTTAGTACAGTTCCTCATGTTGTGGTGACCCCCAATTTCATTGTTACAAATTGAACATAATGAAAGCATAGTGATTAAGCCCTGGCCGGCTTGGCTCAGGGGATAGAGCGTCGGCCTGCGGACTGAAGGGTCCAGGTTCGATTCCGGTCAAGGGCATATGCCTTGGTTGCGGGTGCATCCCTGGTGGGGGGCGTGCAGGAGGCAGCTGATCGATGTTTCTCTCTCATCGATGTTTCTAACTCTCTATCCCTCTTCCTTCCTTTCTGTAAAAAATCAATAAAATATATTTAAAAAAAAAGAATTTGGATGTTTAAAAAAAAGGCATAGTGATTAATCACAAAAACAATATGTAATTATATATGTGTTTTCCGATGGTCTTGGGTGACCCCTGTGAAAGGGTCGTTCGACCCCCAAAGGGGTCGCGACCCACAGGTTGAGAACCGCTGGTTTAGGAGAAGTTGTTCTTCCACTTAGCAAACATTCAAAAATATTGAGTGTCCGCCCGGCTGGTTTGGCTCGGTGGCTGAGCGTAGACCCAGGAAGCAGGAGGTCACTGGTTGGATTCCCAGTCAGGGCTGTGGGCTCAATCCCCGGTGGTGAGTGCACAGGAGGCAGCTGATCAATGATCTCTCTCATCATTGATGTTTCTATCTCTCCCTTCCTCTCCCTTCTCTCTGAAATCAATTAAAAAATATATATTTTTTAAAAGGGCCAAGACTCAGGAAGGAGGGGGCCCTGAACAAGTCACTTAGCAAGGTGGGACTGAACCTCTAAGAGGGAATTAACAAGGATTCTTACACTTATTTAATAAACTTTAAGAAATATTGAGTTTTCCTGGCCAGTGCGGCTCAATGGTTGAGCATGGACAGTAATATGTCGGCAGTAAATCTTATATCTAAGCTCCACATTTTCATGATTAATATTTTTAAAGCATTTTAATTTTCTTTTTAAAAATTTTTATTGTTGAAAGTATTACATATGTCTCCTTTTCCCCCCTATTGACCCCCCTCCAGCCCACCCCTGCCCCCTGCCCCAGGCCTTCACCACCCTATTGTCTGTGTCTGTGGGTTATGCCTATATGCATACAAGGTCTTTGTGTTGTTAATATTTAAAAGGAAAGATTTGAATGAGCAAAGAATCATTTTGTGTACCCGGTTTTCTATAAAATGTTCGTTAATGTCAGTCATACTTGATGTTACAGATGATCTGTTGTCAAACCTTCTATCTCATTATGGCAAGAAAGGCCGCCTGCTCAGGGGGGACTTTCCTGGTGGTTGGGGCTCCCACCCAGAATCCTGGAAAACTTGTTCACAGAGGAACATACCCCACTTCTGCTTGCCAACATAAAAAAAAAAAAAAAAAAAAAAAAAAAAAACTCCTTCTAGATCAACTGCCTGACTTGTCCTTGGCCTCAAGTTCAACCCTAATCAACTCAAGGCTTGGGTTCAAATGAAAACTTCTGGAAAGGTCTGCTTCTTAATATTTGGCCATTAAAACGACAGGCTCGCCCT